TATATATACATGTATATAAATGTATATCCATACACCCGCACAGCTGTCAGATGCCGATCCGTCTCACCACAAGGCACGAGTGCTATTCCGATGCTACGTGGCCTTTGGAGTGAGTGGATTCATATTCTGGGCCCTCGACCGAACGCAGTGTGATAAACTGGCGTCTCTCCCGTATGGTATCCCGAATCCGCAATTCCACGGGTGGTGGCATGTGCTTATGGTATGTTTATGTAGTGAGTCTGTGTAAGTGTCAATGTATTGGTGTAGATATGATATAGTATGCGACATGGTTTGTCTATTTTATATTCATGTGTATGCATGAATGTATAGGTACGGGATGTACCTGTCGATATGTGCTGCTTGCTGTATGTTAATGTAGTGTTTGTGTATATGTGACAATAGATTGGTGTAGATATAATATAATATGCGACATGGTATGCCTGTCTCATATTCTTGTGTATAAATGTATGTGTAGGTACAAGATGTAACTGTCAATATGTGCCATAGTATTACCGGATGGTTAGATGTGTCATTCAGTTGTTGTTGTGCACTGTTCCTCTTTATGAATGTATGATTATGGTACGCTTGTCCTATGATACTTGTGTGTGTGTATATGTAGACCTCGATACCAATGCCATCCGTATGTCCGCATGGTGTGTTTGTTTGCTACCTCCGTATACAAATGTGTGGATAGGTATGATATGCCCATGTGATGTACAGACATCGGTACCATGCTGCTTGCTGCTTGCCTCAGATCGCGCGACAGAATTATTTTAAGTGTGTGCGGATGGCTTTACAGTGCTACTTAACATATCGATGCGTATTGTCGCGTACACACAATCTGAATTTTGGTTTCAAGTGCAGCTGATCTGAATCAGGTGCACCTGATCTGAATTTTGGTTTCAAGTGTACCTGATCTGAAATTCGGTTTCAGTTGTACCTGATCTGAATTTTGGTTTCAGGTGCACCTGATCCTTGACCTTCGACTTTTTAATGTGTATTTTGCACTTCTGCCAAATCAGTTTCAACACGATCCCGCTTCTATCAGATACGTATCTGTAGTGCCCTTCGTGTCGATAGCTTCATACCACATGTACCACCCTTGATAGTAGTCCAGATACATATCACTAAATACGGTCGCGATTCTATCTCATACGTCTCTGTAGCGTCATGCTCTGCGTAGCGATAGCTTCATATCACGTGTACCTGCCTTGATAATAGTCCAGATACATATCACTAAATACGGTCGCGATTCTATCTCATACGTCTCTGTAGCGTCATGCTCTGCGTAGCGATAGCTTCATATCACGTGCACCTGCCTTGATAATAGTCCAGATGCATATCTCTAGAACGTGTCTATGTTTTTAAACCCTAACCCTAAACCCTAAAACAATTTTTTTTCACTTTTATTTCTTCATTGTTCTCTGACGATTCGAAACGGCAGGCGGTCAACTGCTACCTGGGTCCACTTTTTGGTATGAATGTGCGCACAGTTCACCAAACTGATATACATAGCACAAACACGCACCTGCATATACATATGTACTTTTATATATCGATATATATGGTGATGTATTTATTCAAACATATTTTTCTGCTGTATAAGTGTGTGCGTATCGATTTATTTGTTCTTGAATTAGTATATAAACATAATATATATATATTTATATATATTTATATATATACGTATATATATAGATACATATATAGATATATATATATATACATATATATATATAACTATATCTA